AAGTCGCCTATGATTCTCTCGGCGTTACTGTTGAGGTTGAAGTCGCCCAAGATTCTCTCAGCGTTACTGTTGAGGTTGAAGTCGCCCAAGATTCTCTCAGCGTTACTGTTGAGGTTGAAGTCGCCCAAGATTCTCTCAGCGTTACTGTTGAGGTTGAAGTCGTCCAAGATTCTCTCAGCGTTACTGTTGAGGTTGAAGTCGCCCAAGATTCTCTCATCGTTACTGTTGAGGTTAAAGTCGCCTATGATTCTCTCATCGTTACTGTTGAGGTTGAAGTCGCCTATGATTCTCTCCCTGTTACTGTGGAGGTAGTAATCGCCCCAGGTTCTGTCAGCGTTCCTGTTGAGGTAGTAATCGTCCAAGGTTCTCTCACCCTCCCGTTGAGGTAGTAACCATCCCTGGTTCATTCATAACCTTTTGAAGCTCCAGACCCAGTCCCTGTAACCAGTCAGGGTACATCTACACAAAGAGTTTGAAGACCAGCTCCTGTAACAGGCCAGGTAATCATCTTTCTTTTTCAGGTACGCAAGTTCTCGCTAAGGAATCTCTTATGCGATCGACATCCAGATGGCATCTATAAGCCCATCCACCTATCCATAACCTCTCATCATGGCATCTATAAGCCCATCATCCTATCCATTAATCTCCAAATGGCATCTATAAGCCCATTCCCACCATCACACTACTATGTGAGCGCAAATTTTTGGGCACTCTAGTGTTCAATCATCTTCCACCTTCGGATTACGAAAGGCACGTCAGCCAATCTGCATCCTTAGGTCTAAGAAGATTGAACAGGGGCAACTGTTGTACCCCAAAATTTGCCCTCCCATATCCTTCAAGATTTGCAAAGAGCATGCTTCAAAATCAACCCAAGGGATGCACAGTTCAATGGCCTCCTAACAGTCAAAGATTAGGGTTTTGGTTCTGGCAAAGAAGTTGAAGTTTCCAAGGTTCCAAACAAGTCCCACATGCCTATAAACATGGTCAAGCATCCATATGCCAAGTTTCAAGACTTACAGCACAAAATTGCATAGTCAAATGCCCTAATTGCTCAGCAGTCAACTGTAAGGGTAAAATGGTCATTTGACAGTCAAAAGTTCAAATTTTTGGTCAAACATCTTATTTTGAAGCCACAAACATCATTGGATCAATTCTTGATCATGATTCTCAAGGCATGGCTCAAAAAGTCTCAAGATGCAAAAGTTTCCATATTTGGACAGTTGAAAAAGTCAACTGTAACTTGACCAAGGCATAACTTCCACATGGTTTATCATAAAAATTCCATCCAAAGCTCATTTTGAATAGAAAGACATTTCCTACAACTCCTCTTCACACTTCAAGTCCAATAAATGCTCTCACAAAAAGTTATCAATCTCAACATTATAGGTCATTTTCAAAAGTCAACAAAAAGGCACTTTAAGTCAAAGACCATAACTTGAGATTGGTAAATCAAAATGACATGGGACCAAAGGCATTGGTTAGAGGACTTCAAGACCTTTCCAAAATGTCCAAGAACATGATCAAAGCTTAAACATTGAGCAAGATATGCTTTGTGGAAGTTGGGAAATTTTTGGGAATTTTGAAAAGTCAACTTTGCTTCAAATGCCTCAAAATTGCTAATGGGCCACATTTTCTTCCAAGAATCATCATCCAAAAGCTATGCACGACCCATTGACCCAAAGGGGAGTTATTTTCTTATTTTTAATTAATTAATTGAATATTTAATCTATTTAATTCATTTAATCAAAATTAATTACAAGAAAAATACTAAAATAAGGTTTTCAAATCTTTTTGTGTAGTATAATCTCTCATCAAGGCCTAAGGATTTCGTGCATGCCCAAAGAAGAAAGATTCCATGGAAATTGGCTAGGTCTCATGATAAAAAGATTGAAAAAGATTTCATTAAAAATAAAATATTTGATTCATCAAAACATTGATTTTTTGACTCAAATTCTTACCCTAATTCATTCCCATACATAAACAGAAGACAACCCTAATGCAAACAACCTTCAAGCTGCGCCTCAGACCTCATACAAACTTGGCATTTTTTGTGAAAAAATTGAAAACTGAAAACGCACTTAGAGTTGGTTTCAAGGCAAAATATTGATTCCAATAGCTTGCCAAGGCATCAAGAAAACTTTCTGAATCCTTTTCCACGCTTCTAACCTCAGGAATTGGTATATAGAAATCAAGCTTTCTCAAACTTTTTGCATAATCGTGTCTCATAATTCATTCCATATTTTTGATTTCTAACGCTTGATTTGTATTAGTTTAATCATTCTGAAGCTAACCATGTCATTCAATTGAGTTTTCGTGCCTTATACATGAATCCACCATTGGAGCTCGCTAGGGTTTCAAAGCTGTAAAATTGGGGTTTCTCTCGTCCGGAAAAATTGGCCAACAAGACTTATGCCATTAGAATCAGAAGCTTCACACGAACTCAATACACATGTCGCGCTCAATTTATGAGCAACGGTGGCCTAATCGCTATTTTCTTGTACTGTAGTTAGTGGGGGTTCAAAACCCCCGCTATTTGATGTTTTTTTTTCAGGCTAAAGCAAAGACCAAGGAAGAAGATGCGTGCGTGTGGAACCATGATTGGTTGGTTTGAATAAATGGCGCCCTTTTGTTTTTTCAGCATAATCTTGATTTTCCAAATATATTAATTACGTTCCATTATACTTATGAATGAACGCGTTGGTACAGTTGGTGGAGAAGAGCACTTGCAAGCATTGGGACCCGGGTTCGATCCCCAGGTCCCCCATATTTCTTTCTATTTTTTCTTGCAACATGATTAGGTACCTAACATATCTTGAAGTCCACCAAACATCCAGCGCTGGTGCTTGCCACATGGCCACTGAGATCAATCCAAAAGCCAAGCTATGAGTTCCATGGTGCACCTCAGTCCAGGGGTCCACACGCATCCCAGAAAAGTCAACCAGGCCTCCTTCAAATGGGCCAAAATTGCTGGAAAATACCTCCAAAATTGGGGTCAACACCCCCATTGGTTTGCCTTTTATTTTTCTTTCTTTTCATTTTTCTATTTATTTGTTTTATTTATTTTAGTTAATTCATCAAAATTAATTTTCATAAAACATAAAAAATAAATAATAACAAAAAAATCAGAAAGACAAAAAATAAAAATCTATTTTATTATTTAATTCACTAATGTTTTTATTTTGTAAATAAATGTAATCATTAATTTAGTTCTAATTCTAGGTTTTAATCTTAATATTTTTGTAATAAACTAAAAAATGTAGAATTAGGGTTTTATACTTTTATTCCTTTTTTTTTCTTTTTCACCATATTTAATTATTAATTATTTTTTGTAAATAAATTTGCCATTAAGTAATTAGGTTAAAACTAGGTTAAACTTAAACATTTTTTTTGATAAATTAAAAATAGTTTAGAATTAGGGTTCCAATTTAATTTTCTCATTAAACTCCATAAATACAAAAACTAAAAAAAATTCTTTCTTTTATTTAACTTAATTAATTTATTAATTGTAATTTAATTTCTTTAAAAGGGTCCAATGCCCTCGCATTCGATCATAATTCTATTTCGCGCGCTTATTTTATTTCTTTTTTATAAATTTCATGTAATTATCCCAAAGCCTTGTAAATAGATTAATTAGGATATTTATTTTTTCGCGCTTTATTTTATTCAAATCGGGTCTTGGATTAATTTGGCGATGTAGACCCGCACCTTTGTAATAGCGTAGGACTTTTACCTTCTCGCATCTTTTAACTGTTAATAACTTGCATGAAAGAACGAATGCCAAAAATAAAAACAAAGCGTAGATCACCAATGCATGAACAAGACAAACATAATTGAAAATGGCACACAAATCACACACCACCCCTAGGGTACGTCTCACTGTTGCCTTGCCCCTCGAAAAGTGGTCGTCAAGCAGAGGATGTTTTAGTAAGTCCTCATGTCCATGAACATGGCATGAGGGTAGCTTCTAAGGTGTCTTCTTATTGCTCTGGTGACCACAATGTCCCGAACCCTCGAATTGACCCGAACACCTCCAACGGTGGTGCTGTCTACCTCTCAATGGTGGGATGACACTACTTTAAGGACACTTACACAGACGAATTCCTTAGGGTAGGTAGACGACTCGTAGATACTTGCTCTAATTCAAAACAAATCAAAAACTCTTTTCACACCGACACTTTTCAAAAAGATTTCAAAACAACTTTTCAAACACTCTTGAGGACCGATACAAGAGTCGAACTGAAATTTTCAAAGAAACTTTTTAAACCCACAGTTGAAAAGCAAACAAACAATTTTTGAAAACACAAATGAGCAAGTATCTAAGAGCCCATGGATAACCATGGATAGAAAGGGTGCTAACACCTTCCCTTTCTATAAATCTACCTCCCGAACCGAGAGCAATCTCTATAAGGAATTTTTCTGTGCTTTTGTCCTTTCCATTTGGAGAAAATAAAAGACGGTGGCGATTCTTGCTTCCGCGACTTTTCGCGAATCAGCGTTAAAGAGTCAGTTCCAGATCCACCGATCACAATAAGCAACTAATACACTTGACTTATTAAATGACGTATTCGACTTTGTCGAATACATACCAACATACTTCAACACAACAATTATATATTGTATTCGACTCTGTCGAACACAACTAACTCTATTCAATCAAGTTCGACTATAAAGTCTACAGCTGTTCCGACTAAGTCGAACACATATTTATCTACTGAAACAATGAATTACTAGTTTTTAACATTGACGAGTTGTAAAATTCCTAGGAAGCATAAACGAAACTGTCGAGACTCACTGAACTAAATATATGTGACTTCAATATTAATCATTGTATGCAGAAATAAAATGTATTATTAATGTTCAATATTCTGCACAATAAATTTTCTTGTTTATACAACTCTATGCAAAATAAAATTAAAGAATTGTTCAATGAATCTATTTAAAGAATAAACTCAAGCTAAGAAAATAGTTCAAATGAATGAATCAAGCATTGGTTGGTTACTTCAAATGGTGCTCATCAAAAGTTGCTCGAGATACTCAGACCCCATATCTTCCAACACCAAAACATTTTCAGCGATATTAATATTCAACCCTCCATTCTTTGAATCCTTTTTACCCTTTTTACTACAAGTCTTAGTAGATCTTGTTCTCAAGACATGCATCTTTTTTAGTTCCAACAAAGGCGAACAACCCCGGTTTAACAATGTCTTAAAGTTCATGTTTTGAAGAGACTCCTTCACAACATGTTCTGAGAAGTTAAGGGTTGCCCTATAACCTCTTGTTAAGAAAGCTGCTTGATCATAAGCCAAAGCAGCTGCTTCAGGTGTATCGAATGTTCCGATCCATACTCGAACACCGTTTCTTGTTGTGTCTCTTATCTCTGCTGCATATTTTCCCCATGGTCGTGTCCTTACTCCTCTATAAAGCCTCTTCTCTCGTTTACATGATGGTTGTTTTTGAGTTAGGGTTTTTAAGGGAAGTGATGGTTGGTGTTGAGTTAGGGTTTGCGTTGGTGGTGGTGAATTTTCTTCTTTGATATTGGAGTTGAATTCTTGTAAATCCATATGATCACCGCTAGAGGATGAAGAATTGGAATCAATATTATCGAAGAAAAACAAATCTTCCCATGAAATATCAAATAAATTTGCGGAAGCGTAAAAGTCCATAATACTGTGTTTGAGTTTTGTTTATGTTTGTGTCTGTGTTAATTTTCAGTTTTTGCATGAAGATATGAATGGAATGATTTGCACTTGTATATTTGCACTTATATATAACCAACTATGGTTTATTAAATAAAAGCGTTCAATTTGGAATGGAATAAACAAGAGAAAAAGTTTGGTGGCTCTGAATATTTAATTACATGTCGCACTTTTTTACATTTTTCTCTCTTATGATTATGAATAATATTATAATTAGAATAAATGATTGGACCAGTTCCTCTTTGTAGGATAAAACGTATGTGCATGTATTAACAAAAAAAAACAGAAGTATGCGCACGTGAGTCAAATCATGCATTTTCAAAGACTACAAGTAGTCATTCAATCATGGGCTTAAGTTAAGGACACCCCCAAAGAAGGATTTTTATATAAATTAGTGATTATATATTTTGAGTATCAAATTAAGATTTTCCCATTCAATAGTTTTTTTTAAAGCAAGATATATTGACAAGAGAAGTATGTGTTTTCAATCCCGAATACAAAAAGACGAAGTAAAGTTCGACAAAAGAAAAATTATAATCTAATTGAGATTTAATATAAATAAAATAAAGAGTTTTTGCTAAATTCATAAAAGTTACAATTGAGATGTGTAATATTTTCGATGAATGACCATCTCCAAACCAACGCCTTAACGTATCAAATCACATCTAAAATGTTTCAGATATCGTCCCTAAAAATGATGTCATTCCTTAGAATCCATAAATTCCAACATGTTGTCAACCAAACGCAACCTTTCTTGCCGCCTTTCACCTTGTTCAACTTGCAGAAAGAGCTCCACTTAAAAAAAACTATCCTTGAAACAATTTGTCTCGTAATCTACAAAACCAATCCAACCAGCCACCTCTTTCCAAATCAAGACTGAAACGTGACACAACAAAAAAAGTAAATTTCACATCCAACCAGCAACAACCACATCCCGTAAGTTTGATAAATTATACAGTAAAGGAAATTTCTCCTTGAGACAAATATCCTCCAACCAGATATAACGCCAAAAAGATGTGGTATATCCATTTCCAATATGAAATCTACAATTCCTGGCGAAAATATGCAATGTCCATCCGCCAAGAAGATTTGGAAATCCTCTTATTTTGTAATCCACCGAAATTCACAACCTACAAATTAATATCCCTGTAACGAGCCTTCAAAATGTTGTACCACAAAGCTTCTGATTCACCTAAAATCCTCCACATCCATTTGTGAAGAAAAGACAAAGTAAAATCTTGAATCCTTCTTAACCTGAGACCACCTTTACCAATGGAAAGACAAACATCCTTCCAACTCACCTAATGAATCTTTCTATGATCCTCCTAACCTTCCCAAAGGAAATTACTTTGTAACTTGATAATCTCTTTAATGATTTTCACCGGGGCTTTGTAAAATAAAAGCTTAATGATTGAAAGACTACACAACATCGATTTAAGAAGATTTATTCTACCTCAAATACTTAGAAAATGTCCCCTTAAACTTGAAAGTCGAATCTTCATCTTAGTTAAGAGAAAATTCCATGTCGATATCCTTCTTGGATTAAACCCACTAGGAATTCTGAGAAAAACGAACTCTTTTTCCTTCTTCCTGCATGAAAGAAAAAAAAGTCACAACCTCTATAAAATTAGAATTAATGTTGATTCCAATTAACTTGCTTTTATGATAATTTATCCCTAAGCCCGACACAAGATCGAAACACTTCAATACCACCTTGATAGCCCATATTTGTTTCCAACTACCATATCACACCAAAAAGTATCATTCGCAAATTAAAGGATGTCGATAAAGCATTTGTCGTTTACATTAAAACCTGCATAATCTCTATTCTTCACGGCCTTACTGACCATCCCATTTAATCCTTCCGCAACAAGAACAAAAAGAAAAGGTGAAAGAGGATCGCCTTGTGTCAAACCCCTCTCAACCATAAACTCCTTCGTAGAACTACCATTTACCAACACCGACATTTTTCTAGAAAAAATTATCACTTCCATCCATTCATCCAAACTTCTCCAAAATCCATCTTCCTCAATATGAATCTAAGAAAATCCCAACTAACTTTGTCGTAAGATTTTTCAAAATCAACTTTTTGAAAAGTAAACAACCTTTCCCTTCCTTATTTGCATAATTCAACACTTTATTAGCCACCAAAACACCATCTAGAAAATTTCTATCCGGAACAAAAGTAAGTTGACATTGAGAAACAATAGAATTCAAAACCGTCTTTAATCTTGCTGCCAAGAGCTTTGAAATAGCTTTGTAAACAAACCTATAAAACATATAGGCCTATAGTCATCCAAACCCAACAAATTAGAAGACTTCTAAATCAAAGTTAAGAAAGAAGAAATAAAATATTTTGACAAAACGACCTCGTGGTGGAAATCTTGAAGCAACTAACAAAATCCTCTTTAGGGAAGAACCAACATTTCTTAATAAAAAAGGAAGGAATAACTGTCGGGTCTCAGACTTTTTGAACCATCACAAACCCCACACCACCTCCTTAATTTCACTCTACAGAAAATGAGCTTTAAGAAAGGATCTTTTGGTCTGATTAAGTTCCTTAAATTGAAGCTCATCAAGAACTGGTCTGCTCCAATCTGTTTCAAAAAATTTAGCAGCAAAATCATGTTGGACCTCTTCCTTCACCTCTTTAACCGAATCTATTATACCTTTGTCTATCATGATGGAACCAATATCATTGCGCCTCCTCCTCTCTTTCGTAAAACTATGAAAGAACCTATTATTGGTATCTCTGTCATTAAGCCACTTTAATCTCAATTTCTGAATAAGCATATTTTCCTTAATCTTAATATTCAACCAAAACAGACTACAAGCCTTCCTTTTGTTCTCAATATCTCCATCCCGCAATATTTCACTATCGTCCCCAACCATCTCATCCCCTTCGTTCATCTCCCTAACTCCCTCCTCCACCTCCAAATTTATCTTCCTAAAAACCTTAGTATTCCACCATTTAAGGCTATCTTTAAGTAATCACAATTTTTCTTTAAGAACAAAATCGCTTATACCTTCAATAACTATCGCTTTCCACTCCTTCTCGACAAAAGGAATGAAATATTTGTTGGAAAACCACTCATTGTTAACTTTGAAAGGCTTCAGACCCCAAACCGCGTTGTCCACTATTAACCAAATTGGGCAGTGATCTGAAATATCTCTCAAGCTAATATATTGACCCACCACCCTTCATCTACTAACAATTCTATCCACCACTAGAAAACGGTCAATCCTACTCTTCTCTTTCCCATCACCACTAAACCAATTGAATTTCTTCCCTTTACATGGAATATTCACCAAATTACTCTCATCAATAAATTCAGCAAACTCCCTCCACTCAGAATTTCTGCTCATCGCAGAACTCCCTTTTCTCTCCCTAAGGTTCATCATGAAATTGAAGTCTCCGCAAAAAACCCATTCACCGTCTAAATGTCTAGACTTCAATTCCAACAGGTTCTTCCACAAAACACGCTTCATCATAAGAGAACACAATGAATAAATGTTTACAATATAAAAAATATTGTTCTTTCATCTAACCTTGACTGCCAAGAAGCTAACTCCATTAAAACTACAAATAACTCTGTTACTTCTCACTTTCCAAAGAATCAGAAGACCGCCAGACAGACTATCTAAAACAGAATATGAATAATCTACAACTTCCTTACCCCATAAACTTCTAGCCATAAAGTAAGTCATTAAAGATGATTTTTTTCCTGAATGAGGAACATATCTGTATTTCCCTTGTTGATTATATGGCTAATCCTTATTCTCTTAACCTTTATACCCCCTCTAATATTTAAAGAACCCAATATCATTATACATGTTGATATTCACCTTCTCTCTCAACTTTCTGATTTCATCCTCTTTTTCCATCTCATCAATTCTTTTTTTGTAGTCTTTCTTCGAATCCACCGTTACTACACCAATATTAGAAATGACCTTCCAAAGTTTATCCCCCATATTAGAATCCAAGTTATTCAATAGCATGGGGTTTCTTCTAACAATATCCGATTATGTTGATTGTTCACCATAAATAATGTTATCTAAGAGACTATCCCCTTGTCTCAAACCAGTAGAGTTAGAACAAAAAAATTAACATTCTTCCCAGAAATACCCATTGGTCCTGGGTCATGATTTAAAATTTTATTAGATTTCAAGTGCTTTTTCTTGGTCCTACTATTTTTTGCTTTTTCCATCCCACTCACCTCAAAAAAACTTTTAAATTTCATTTTTTTGAAACTTTCTTTCTGGCCACGTGATTGCAGCACGTGGGGATGGATAAAGAGCCAAGAATACATCTAACTCTTATCCCATTTGAACCAGACAAAATTAAACTATCCACTATATTCTCACCATTTCTCCTGATGTGACATGACATCTCCTTTGACACACCTATCGCTTCATCAAAAGTTACATATACTGCCACCTTATCTTCTACCCTTACCTTGTCAACATTAACAATCTCTGACTTCTTCTTCCCTTTACCTTCCGTACCATTAATCTCCCTCCCAAATTATATTTCTTATGTCCCTTCATCTTTCGCCTGAATCGAGGTATCCTCAAGACTGCCAAAGCCATCCTCCTCTCTGTCACTGGAAACATGGTGGTTCCACTCCTCCTCTGAACTTGTGTTGACGCTCTCATTCAACTTGTGATTCGGTTGAACCATAGAGATTTGTAAAGAACCGTAAGTTTCCTCCCTCAGTAAAACATTAAATGATACACCATCTATCATCACCTTCAGAGAATCCTTCAAAACAAAAGAAAATGGCACTCTCACCATTAGCATGGCAATGTCCATGTTGATTCCTTTCAATGTGTTTTCCTCGGAGCACACATAAGTCCCAATCAAATTAGCTAGTTTTTCAAAAAATATACATGTCAAGTGTGACAAGGAACTCTATATATAAGAATCAAAGTGACTCTACCATTATCAACGTCATTTTACTTCTAGG